GTATCTGTGGTATCTTGGTGTCTGGCTGATCCCCGCCTCCATGGGGACTGTTGGAGAGGCAGGCAGAAAGTGAAGACAAGACTTCAGAAGTGGCAGAACTCTGCAGAGGAAAGGAAAAAAAAGGCTTGGAGCCCAGACTTTGCAAACTTGTGAAAGGTGGGCCTGCTGTGTTACCCCCCATGCCTACAGAGTTCACCTAGTCCAGGACCTTCTGACTATTCTCATGGAGGCTGTTGCCTGGCAAGAGCTGCAGGGAAGATGAGGTGCAGCAGAGACTCACTGGGCTTAAGCCACAGCCCAGCCCCCCCTTCACTTTCCCATTTTCCTCTGAGACAGTTGCTCCTCTGTCTGCACCTGCCCCTGACACCAAGGCTGACAGGCCAAAATTCTTCAACTGTGGATCTCATTAAAGATTACAGGTATTTCCTGCATCTTGTATAGCTGTAGGTAGTCTAGAAATAACTGAAAACTGCTGCAAAATCTACATAATCTTGGATTCGAGCCCTAATTTTTCTTAACCCTTTCCCTCCTAGGCTGCTTTACAAACCTCTCCAGAGCCCCTTAGATCCCAGTGGACCACAGTGCCATCCTGTGGCCAATAAGTGAAGTTTCATCATTGCTTCTGCAATGGCTCAAGGGATGCTGGGAAGTGTCTGCAGAGTGAGCTGAGACACTATTCTAGAAATGCCATCTTGCATGTTTTATGAGCTACTTCCCTAAACCCCAATCCCCACATTAGTTTTAACCCTGACTCTTCCTTTGAGTTATCAAGCTTAACATCCCATCCTCATTCTAAATAATTCTTACCCCGTAGCTGCAGTTACAGTCTCACTGAATTTTCTCCCTTAAAACTATCTAAAGAGACAGGAATAGAATAGGAAGAATGGAAGGAAATAGTGTTTACTCTAAAGCAGGAATAAAATACAGAAAGTGAAGTGTAACGTTATTTCATTTCCATTACGAAAGATAAACAAACATGTCCCCCAAATGACAATGCTACCATAAAAATAAAGATTAGCAAAAGACTAAGCAGATAATGTGATGACCTTCAAGATGGGGTCAGATATGTATTAATAAAAAGCAAAACTGGGATATATGAAATAGGATCCCTTGGCCGGGCGTGGTGGCTCACACCTGTAATCCCAGGCCTTTGGGAGGCCAAGGCGGGCAGATCACGAGGTCAGGAGATTGAGACAATCCTGGCTAACACAATGAAACCCTGTATCTACTAAAAAATACAAAACATCAGCCAGGCGTGGTGGCGGGCACGTGTAGTCCCAGCTACTCAGGAGGCTGAGGCAGGAGAATGGCGTGAACCCTGGAGGCGGAGCTTGCAGTGAGCCGAGATCGCGCCTCTGCACTCCAGCCTGGGCGACAGAGTGAGACTCCATCTCGGGGGAAAGACAAAAAAAAAAAAAATCCCTTGAAAGGCAATAAACAATCATGGAAGGAGCAGTATCTAATAGGAAAATAAGGCTGGATATAATTAAGACCAGCAAAAGGCCCGCAACAGGAAAGGAATAGCTTGTACCATGCACATGTGCTGATCTGAAGAGCAGAGAGGGAGGAGATGCTTCTGAAAGAGGTACTGGAGTGGCGTGAGATGAGGGTACGCTGCTGCAAAATAGTATCATACGGAAGCAAATCAGCCAGGGAACTGGGGATTATATGACCTTTCTATCCACCGTCTTCTGTGACAGACCAGAGGGACCATTTCCCTTTTCAGTGATTTGCTCTACAGCCCTTGCTCCATCCCAGGGAAAGGCTCCCAGAATTTCTCTCCTCAGGTTCTCATGGACCAACTCTTATTCTTTCGTCGTTGAGCAGAGTCTAAAGGGGAGGTAATCTCTTCGTGCCCTGAAGTCCCACAGTAACTGGCATAGTCCTCTCTCGTGGCTTGATCACAGGTCCCCAAGTCTGTGCCTTTTCATTTCCAGTAGATTGAAAGTTAGGTGTGAGTCATGAACCTTGAACAAGGCCTTTATCATAGAACATGTAAGTGACTGTTTTCAAAATCATTGCTGTTTCTTTCACTGCCTCAGATTATATCTGAACAGAAAAGATGCATAATTGGAATGATTTCTTAAATGAATTTAAACACAAAAATCTTTCACGGTGCCATAAAGAATGCAACCAAAATAATTGTTCTCCTAAATGGTGACACTGTAGAGGGAAACAAAAAGCAAATAAAATCATATCAAGTATTTGAGAAGAGCCTCAGAAACCCAATCCTTCTTATACAAACATCACCATATGGCCTCCCTCTACCTGACAGACAGCAGAGCCACACTCATGCCCTGCACCTGGCAGAAAAGCCTTGCTGGAGCCTGTAGAGAGCTGGCGAGGAGGAGCCTTGGTGGTTCTGCCCCAGAGCAGAGGTTCTCTGGGAGCTCTGGATGACCTCCAGGGACTGAGATGGACGGGGGCTGTGCTATGTATTGGAGAGGAAGACATTTAGGGTGAGTGTGATCTTTCTGACCTCTCAGCTGAAAACAGATCCAAGGTCATTGGTGACTGGTGTGGAGCTGCTTAGTTTCCAAAGCAAATTAGTCCATGCCCCAGGGTGTGTCTGTGCCACTGAAGAATTTTCTGGCTGTAAAGTGGTTCACAACCCAGAGCTGCTGCTTGCCCCATCCCTGTTCCCAATGACTGCAGCATCTACATATTCCATGCAAGGAAGGATAATGTGAAAATAATAAACTGGTTCACTGTATTCTTTAGCTACACTCAAAATAGTTGTCATGTTCTGGACTGGTGTGCTTACAGGAGACACGGACCCACAAAGTAAGGGAATTTGGAGATTGAATAGAAATAGTGTCAACTGAGGTCACCTTCGATCATGGTTTCTAAAAGCAAGAACAGAGAAGAGGTGAATTCGGAGTCCTTTTGGCCCCGCAAGACATGACGACGTAACAGGAACATCATTTTCTCAGAAAACATTCCAGTGATGTGCTGGAAAACTGAGTGTCTGTGGAGGTGGGCACGTGCCTAGTAGCACTTACCAATTTCTGTTGTATCAACAAAGGCACTTCGGTGGATTTCAAACTGTCAACATGGCTTCACTGAAGGGAAGAGTGTGCCTATTTGTCTCTCGCGAGTCAGAAAAGCTGGCTCCAGCACATCTCTGGACTCCGAAGCACAACTTTCAAAGCTCTTCAGTGCTTAATACTCAACTCCTAGAAATGAGGCATCAGCAACAATATCGAAGCCCATTGTTTTCATAATAGGATGAGAGTGTGACCCTGGGTCTTCGGGTAGACAAAGGAAAGTTTGAGCCCAGAAAGGATTGAAGAGTTCTCTGAAGTTAGTTGTTCAGAGTGCAGAGCTCTCAGGGTTGTGCTGGCTGATTTGGAAGCTTCTAGACTTTGATTTGAAATACTTTTATTGACGTGCTCCTTTTTTAGCTCGAAGAGATTAGTTACATTCATTTAGAGCAGGGCCTTTATTGCTTCTTGTTTGCTTATTAATACAACCTTCCCTTTGCTATCCTTGTACGTTCACTCTCCGTGCAGATGGGAAACCCTGCCCACCTTTTTTACCACTTCTTTCAGCATCAGTTGTGGTTAGTATTCTGTTCAAGCTTAAGTTTCAGAGCTGGTCCACTATTAGGACCATTTGTCTTAGGGGTCATGTGGATAAAGGTGGGAAAAGTTGGAGACAGGGTCCAGCAAGGAAGTCCTTGGAGTAGCATCCTAAGGTCAGGGAATTCCCATCTGTGCCTGGGACTTATGCACTCCCAGGACACACAGGGCAACTAAAAAAGGAATGATCTGTTGATGGAACAATTAGAATGGGTTCAGAACAATCCCTGTCAACGATCATCATTTGCTAGAGAAAGAAATTCAGATACCATATCTGAGCCACCACAATTTCTGATAAGTGAACTTAAGGATCTATAATTCCCCAACCAGCTCTGCAGGACTCAGGGCACCTCTGTCCTGGCTGGGTCTGGGGTATTCTATCTTAACCTTTGTGTATGGGGCTGTCTCTGAGGACTCCCAGAAACCCATGATCCATAATCATGTCAGCTCTAACCACATCTTGAAATTTCATATATGTGAACTGTAGCTTCACTCAAAGAGAGGTGAAGAATTTTTATTACAATATACTTATTTATATTTGCAAAAAAACTATATTGCAATATGTAAAATAACAAACAAAACAAAAGTAATATAAGCATTATTATTTTTAAAACTCCATCTTCTTGAGTTAAAGACCTCAGGGAAATTATTTCAAATCAAAAGACTAGAGCAACAATCATCAGAGGCTGGGGTGGAGTTGGGGTGCTGGGGAGATGTTGGTTAAAGGATACAAAATTTCACTCAAATAGGAGGAGGAAGTTCAAAAGATCTATTGTAGAACACAGTGACTAGAGTTAGTAACAGTGGATTGCATTCTGGAATATTGCTAACAGAGTACATTTCAAGTATTCTCACCACAGGAAAGGATAAGGATTGAGGTACTGCATATGTTAATTAGCTAGATTTAGTCGCTGCACCATGTACATACTTTTTTATTTTTTATTTTTTTGAGACAGAGTCTCCAGGCTGGAGCGCAGTGGCGCCATCTCAGCTCGCTGCAAGCTCCTCCTCCTGGGTTCACTCCATTCTCCTGCCTCAGCCTCCCAAGTAGCTGGGACTACAGGTGCCCGCCTCCACACCCGGCTAATTTTTTGTATTTTTAGTAGAGACGGGGTTTCACCGTGTTAGCCAGGATGGTCTCGATCTCCTAACCTCGTGATCTGCCTGCCTCGGCCTCCCAAAGTGCTGGGATTACAGGCCCATGTACACACATTTTAAAATGCAGGTTACATGGTATACATATGTACAATTCTTATTTGTCAGTATTCAGGTTCTAGAAACCCAATTTCCTAGGGAACCAAGCTGACACTGGAGCAGTAGTGGACACAAGGTTCAGTCTCCCAAGACAGGAGCAGTGGTAAATGAACACAAAATAAAGAACACTCATTGCTTACACTAGGCAGAAGAAACGAAGTCTTATTGTTATCATGGCTGTATTCATCAAGTAATTGTCACAAAAGCCACAAGGATGTTGAAGTCAAACACGAAGATTGTTTTGCTCTGGTACTGCAGAAAACTTCCAATGTGACAGGGATAGAAGAGGCTTCAGAAGAAAAAATGTTCCTGTGGATGAAGCTTCAGACCTTGCAGATGCCAGATGCCCGAATTCATGCAGGGGAACAGGCCTGTTCCTTGCCCATGCCCAAAGCTTCTGTATGCGGGCAGCAACCTCCCAGGCCCCAAAGAAAACTGCATGTCCCAGCCCTGAAGGCCGAGGCTAAGACACCCAGTGCTTGCCTTAGAGCGGTGAGCTGGCTCTGAAGACTCCTAGAGTCCAGTGGGCCACGATTGCTTCCACCACCCACATTTACAGTTACTGTGTCTTAGGGGTGAATCTGTGATCTCTTTCTACCCAAAGGACAGCTGAGGTCCAAATCTACTTGTTTCCCACAGGGAGCGGGGAGCGGGGAGCAAAGAGAAGCCTCTGTTAAGGGTCTCTAGATGCTGCAAGGAGACAGAAGGATGAGGTTTGTGAACAGGAAGGAGGCGACCGTGCCACGCTGTGGCTAAGCTGCTGGCACAGAGATACACGGCCGAGTCCCCCTGCTCTGTGCGCTGGATCTTCAGAGTGGAGACGGATCCCTCAGTCCTCTCTGCAGAGAACCGACCACTGGGCAGCCCTGATTTGTCTGGTGCATCGTTGCCTTGGAAGTAAATTAAAAACTCCAGGCCCTTCCCCAGGCTCTGTCGGTACCAATAAAGGGCGGTATGACCTGAAATTGGATCACACCTGAGCACTACATCCTTTCCCTCCTCTGTGACCTTGTTCCTGGGGGACTGGGAAACTCCAGCACCTGTGTGATCTGTGGAGGCACAAGTTAGGAACAGAACAAGGGAAACAATTTTAGTCATCACACGAATCGCACCCCTCCACACACACACATACAAACACCCCCCGGCACACACACACACACCCACACACACAATGAGGCTGGTTGGTGTCTGAGGACTCACCTGCCCCCAGGAGGCACAGGGCTGCCCAGCAGAGGAGCCTGGTGCCCATGGCAGAGTCAGGGCAGGATGGGAGCTTTACCAGATCAGGGTCATTGTGAGCAGGAGCAGAGGAAGAGGGACGTCCCTGTCCTTACACGGAAGTTCCCGCAGTGACATCACTTCCTCTCCCAATCTGCATGACCTCAGGAACACAGGATTTATATTAGAACACACTTGGATGATTACTTTAAATATTTATACGCTCCTTGTAAACAACGTTATTTGCATGGGACATCGCTTTGGGCTCCTGTACTATCTGGACCGAGAGGCTTCATGCTGCGTCTCCGAGTTCACCTTCTCATCCCACAGCCCCTCCTCTGTCTGCTGGGCACGTTCTGTAGGATGTGCCAACAGCAACCCCAACACCAGGCACCAAAGGGTGAGCTCATTGTCTTTCCTGCAAGTCGGGGTCCCCTCTGCCATCCCCATTCATGCCGCAGCCTCCTCCATTCCCCCAGTCACACGTGCCCAACGGGACTGCCCTATCACATGGGTTTCCTCATAAACTGCCCTCATGCCTTTCTTCTGGGATCATTTCCCACCCTCGTTAACTATAATTCAGAAAAGATACCTTGGGGGCAAACTCACAGAATTTTTTTAGTGTTCCATATTTTCTTTTCCTGTCCTATAGATTTTTTTTAAATCAATCTGAATCTTCAATAACTGAGGACTGCAATTCTGATTTAACAGTTAGTTTTAATTCTCTTTCGTGACTTTAACTATTTCTCTCATTCTATTCCACTGAAAGATATTTATCTCTCCCTTTTGACTGCTGTTAAAATCTTCTCTTTGTCATTTGTGGTCTGCAATTTCACTAGGACCTACCTATTCGTCTTGCAATTCATCTGAATTCTTGAACAAGAATTTCGGTCTCAAACATCTCAGGAACATTCTCAGCTAATATCATATACACAGTCATCTCAGGCCATTTGCCCTATTTTCTCTTTCTGAAACTTCAATTATATATAAGAAAAAAATAAAAATTTCAATAAAACATTATATACTTTCTGATATTCTAGAAACTTAATTTTTTCCTTGTTCCTTCACTTTTTAATATTTTACATTTAATTTTCTTTCATTCTAGGTGATTTCTTGAGATCCATCTTTGATATTGCTACTAATCTCTTTAGAAGCATTGAATCTGCTGTTTAGCTTCCATTTGGTTTTCTGGAGTAATCATAATGTTTCTAGACATTCTATTTGATTATTTCTTTAATGTTTTTTGATGGTTTGGGGCAGCCTCTTTTTTCGTGTCCTCATTTCAGTTCCTTCTTGTATTCATTTAAATGTAGCTCTTCGAACATTCACATCTTATGATGGCAGAATTTTAAATCTTCAAGATGTTCATTTTAATAGTTTATTGCTTCTGCTCACTGTTCCTCCTCGGTTTTTGTTTTAATATTTTTAATAGTGGGAGTGAATTGGTCTGATGTTAATCTGTGAAATTCAGGGAGAAGCCAGGGTTGAGAGTGCAGAACATCAAGACTCCATAGCTTTTCAACTGTCTCCGGTCTCACCCCCAAATGCATGGGGTCAGGAACTGTCTGCTGCACTCTGAGCTGCGAAATACCCCCGTAGATTAGATTCCTCACATCACAGCCTGCTCTGAGGACAGCCCCAATGTAGGTTCCAGAAGAGAATTCTGATTTTCTGTTTCTTTTTTATTATGCTTCCTCCAAAAAACAGAGCCTGTAAGGCTGTATATGCATGAGGTTTTGTTTTTTTGTTGTTGTGGTTGTTTGTTTTTGTTTTTCCTGTTCTTCCAAGGAAACCAAAGTCCTAGCATCAAGGATTTGTTCCACCATTAGCCAACTTAAGACAATTACGGGACAAAAGTAGCTCACTATTTAGGTCCAACTTTTACAAAGGAAAATCAATATTTTTTTATTTCAAATCATATGCTCTCCTTTGAGTAGAATAAGAGGTCACATTAATCATGAATTAAATCTGCTGGCTAGATCTCCCCTCCAGACCTTCTCTTCCTCAGCTCCCCCTACATTTACATAAGGTCTAACTCCTGTCATACATCCTCCTCTCCATAGTACTCTTAGTGGCTCTGTTTTATTGATGTAAACGTAATGGAGTTTTTGGTACCAGAAGTGGTTCCAAAATCACAAACCTGTGTGCATGGGTTTCTGGAAATGGATCTCTGATCTGTCTAGAGTTGTTGTGGGGAAAGAGTCCGAAGGAGAGCATAGAGACCTGGAGGAGGTCTGGTGCTGCAGACACAGGAGGAATCTTACCCATGATAGCGACTCCCCATTAATTTCAGGGACCTACCCTAGCCCAGCAATCAAACGGGTAAGATTTCTTGTAGTTAATGCCAGATCTCTGCCAGGGTAAAATGGATCTAGGGTGCTCCTGTTATTCGTTGATCCATCCACCCATCATTCACTGCGTCATTGACTCATCCATTCTCTTTGAAATGGGTCTCCCCCTGTGCCAGGCACTGCTGTTGGGATATAAAGCAGACATAGCCTTGGTCTTCATGGGGTTTAAAGTATCTGGAAGATTCCAATTGTGCTAAATTCTACTGACTAACAGATACATGATAGCATGAGAGATTATTAAAGGGAAACTGACCTCAGCTGGGAGCCGAGGGAAGCATAGTGGTGATTATCACCAGGGCTGATCATGCTGAGATCTGAAGCACAGGTAGGTGTTGACCACTACAGAAAGGAAGTCTCCAGCCCAGGGCACAGGAGTGGACTTTGGAGTCTCTCAACATGGCAAGAGTAGAGAAGGGCAGGGAGGTCGGGGAGGAGAAACCCAGCAAGGTACTGGAGGGCGACTGTGAATATAGGAAATGCAGGCTGTGGCTAAGACGACTTTAGGGTTCAATATGAGGAAAAATCATAGAGAGGAAAGCATCTGGTACGCAGGTAGAGATGGGAGTCAAGATGGATCTGAAATACAAATCCTATTTCACCTACGAGGCCTCAGACTCAGGTGAATGACTAGGAAAGTCAGAGCTGGGAAACCTCTGGCCCCAGCCCAAAAGGACAGCTCAGAGGAAAGACTAGAGGGGGACAAAGAAGACATCTGAGGCCCTGAGACCAGTCCTGGCCTGGGTGAGACCTACTGCAGAGGCACCTGGCACAGACCAAGGCTCCCACTGGCCAGGCACAGTGGGGATCCAAAGTTTCTGGTGCTAGGACCAAGGGCATTGCTGAGTCTGGGGTGGGGAGGAGGGCAGAGCCTCCCCTGCCTTTATGTGCAGAGAGGAGACGGCCGTGCAGCACTGTGGCTTCACTGCTGGCACAGAAGTACACAGATGTCTGGGAGGGAGCAGCCGACTCCAGCCTGAGCAGGAACTCCTTTTTGTTTAATCTGGAGACACTGTAGCCATCGGGGACTTCTCCTGGGTCAGTGGTATCCTCGGTAGCTGAGTAATGAATCAGCCTCAGCCCCATGCCTGGGTCTTGTCAATACCAGTACATGGAGTCATGGTTCATATCCTGGGCACACTGCAGTGTCATGCTCTGTCCTGTCTTCAGGATCTGGAATTTTGGGCTCTGAGTGACACCAGCATTCACTGGACCTGCAGAGAAGCACAAAACTGATGCTGCAGCCCCAGTGGGAAGGCGCTGGGCCTTGAAATCTATGCAAGGGGCCCTGCCCAGGACCCACCTGGCCACAGGAGAGAAAAGGCCACACAGCACAGGAGCTTGATGCTCATGGCAGGTGCTACAGGATAGAGGGGTCTTCTGGGTCTGTGCATTGGTGAAAGGGGAACAGGTCTTTCAGGGCGTCATTCTGAGACATCATTCTCCCTCCCTGGGCCCCAGAGCCTTCCTGTCAGGAGAGGCCACGCCCCTTCCCCAGATGGTCAAATTCAAGATAAATTCACCAGTGAAGAGTTTGGATGGGAAGAATGCCTTTGTCTGAATTGATGCAAGTCTACCATTTTTTAAAATATCTTTTGGTAATTAGTTTGTAACTCAATGTGTATTTTTTATTCCCATGATGATGTAATTACTTGGCTGTGCACGCTGACCCATGCCTGTAATGCTAGCCCTTTGGGAGGCTGAAGAGAGCAGATCACTTGAGGCCAGGAGTTGGACACCAGCCTGACCAACATGGTGAAATCCCATCTGTACTAAAAATACAGAAATTATCCAGGCATCCTGACGTGCACCTGTAGTCACAGCTACTCGGGAGTCGGAGGCACCAGAATTGCTTGAACCAGGGAGACAGAGGTTGCAGTGAGCCGAGATCATGTCACAGCACTCCAGCCTGGGTGATAGAGTGAGACTCCATCTCAGAATAATAATAATAATAATTACTCATTAATACACTGACATTGGTTATCTAAGCATTACTATAGTCTAGAATCTTAGAAAAACTCCTCATGTCTTCCCGGTGTTTTTGACTCCTGTGTCCCAAATACTCCTTCAAGTATCCTTTTCTAATCTGCTTAATTGACCATAATCCTGTTCAAAATCCTTTGTCTATATTGATTTTCTCTGTTATTAGCTTTCCAAATCCCAGGGGCAGGCTCATCAACATTGGAGTTGTCACTTTGTTCTGTTTCTTGTCAATTCACTGACAGATGGGCCTCCTGACAAAACCGGCTGAGCACCTTCAGCTCCACCCAGGGCTGTTGTTTCTGTGCCTGGGGTTAGACCGCAGCAGGCAGAACCACCTCACGATGCTGACTGCCCTCTCTGTGTGGATGATGGCAGCTGCCCATGATCTACAGGCACAAAGGTGTCTTGATGTGTAAGCGACTTGGAGAGACAAGGCAGACTTTAGGGTAAGGAAGAATGTTCTGGATGTATTGCTGCCATTAATTTAGTAATAAATACAAAGGAACCAACTCAAATACCCATCAGTCAATGAGTGGATAAAGAAACTGTGAGATATATATATGAAATAGATATAATATATATGAAATAGATATAATATATATATGTTTCAGGGACTTACCCAAGCCCAGCAATCAAAGGGGTAAGATTTCTTGTAGTTAATGCCAGATCTCTGCCAGGGTAAAATGGATCTAGGACGCTCCTGTTATTGGTTCATCCATCCACCCATCATTCACTGCGTCATTGACTCATCCATTCTCTTTGAAATGGGTCTCCCCCTGTGCCAGGCACTGCTGCTGGGATATAAAGCAGACATAGCCTTGGCCTTCATGGGGTTTAAAGTATCTGGAAGATTCCAATTGTGCTAAATTCTACTGACTAACAGACACATGATAGCATGAGAGATTATTAAAGGGAAACTGACCTCAGCTGGGAGCTGAGGGAAACATAGTGGTGATTATCACCAGGGCTGATCATGCTGAGATCTGAAGCACAGGTAGGTGTTGACCACTACAGAAAGGAAGTCTCCAGCCCAGGGCACAGGAAGTGGACTTTGGAGTCTCTCAACATGGCAAGAGTAGAGAAGGGCAGGGAGGTCGGGGAGGAGAAACCCAGCAAGGTATTGGAGGGCGACTGTGAATATAGGAAATGCAGGCTGTGGCTAAGACGACTTTAGGGTTCAATATGAGGAAAAATCATAGAGAGGAAAGCATCTGGTACGCAGGTAGAGATGGGAGTCTAGATGGATCTGAAATACAAATCCTATTTCACCTACGAGGCCTCAGACTCAGGTGAATGACTAGGAAAGTCAGAGCTGGGAAACCTCTGGTCCCAACCCGAAAGGACAGCTCAGAGGAAAGACCAGAGGGGGACAAAGAAGACATCTGAGGCGCTGGGACCAGTCCAGTCCAGACCGGGCCAAGACCGACTGCAGAGGCACCTGGCACAGACCAAGACTGGCATTGCCCAGGCCCACTGAGGCTCCAAAGTTTCTGGTGCTAGGACCAAGGGCATTGCTGAGTCTGGGGTGGGGAGGAGGGCAGAGCCTCCCCTGCCTTTATGTGCAGAGAGGAGACGGCCGTGCAGCACTGTGGCTTCACTGCTGGCACAGAAGTACATAGATGTCTGGGAGGGAGCAGCTGACTCCAACCTGAGCAGGAAATCCTTTTTGTTTAATCTGGAGGCATTGTAGCCATTGGGGACTTCTCCTTTCTCAGTGCTACCTTCACCAGCTGAGTAATGAATCAGCCTCAGTCCCATGCCTGGGTCTTGTCGATACCAGTACATACGGTCATGGTTCATATCCTGGGCACACTTCAGTGTCATGTTCTGTCCTGTCTTCAGGACCTGGAATTTTGGGGTCTGAGTGACACCAGCATTCACTGGACCTGCAGAGAAGAACAAAACTGATGCTGCAGCCCCAGTGGGAAGGCGCTGGGCCTTGAAATCCATGCAAGGGGCCCTGCCCAGGACTCACCTGGCCACAGGAGAGAAAAGGCCGCACAGCACAGGAGCCTGATGTTCATGGCACGGGCTGCAGGACGGAGGGGTCTTCTGGGTCTGTGCATTGGTGAAAGGGGAACAGGTCTTTCAAGGGCATCATTCTGAGACCTCATACTCCCTGCCTGGGCCCCAGAGCCTTCCTGTCAGGAGTGGCCACGCCCCTTCCCCAGATGGTCAAATTCAAGATAAATTCACCAGTGAAGAGTTTGGATGGGAAGAATGCCTTTGTCTGAATTGGTGCAAGTGTACCATTTTTTTTTTAGATCTTTTGGTAATTAGTTTGTAACTCAAAGTATATTTTATATTCCCATGATGGTATAATTACTTGGCTGTGCACAGTGGCCCACGCCTGTGATCCTAGCCCTTTGGGAGGCTGAAGAGAGCAGATCACTTGAGGTCAGGAGTTGGAGACCAACAGGGCGAAATCCCATCTGTACTAAAATACAGAAATTATCCAGGCATCCTGACGTCACCTGTACTCACAGCTACTCAGGAGTCTGAGACACCAGAATCACTTGAACCAAGGAGGCAGTGGTTGCAGTGAGCTGAGATCGTGCCACTGCACTCCAGCCTGGATGACAGAGTGAGACTCCATCTCAAAATCATAACAATCATAATAATAACTCATTAATACACTGATATTGGTTATCTAAGTATTGCTATAGTCTAGAATCTTAGAACACCTCCTCATGTCTTCCTGGTGTTTTTGACTCCTGTGTCCCAAATACTCCTTCAAGTATCCTTTTCTAATTTGCTTAATTGACCTTAATCCTGTTTAAAATCCTTTGTCTATATGGGTTTTCTCTGTTAGCGAGTTTCCAAATCCTAGGGGCAGGCTCATCAACATTGGAGGAGTCATTTTGTTCTGTTTCTTGTCAATTCACTGACAGATGGGACTCCTGACAAACCCAGCTGAGCAGCCTCAGCTTAACCCAGGGCTCTTGTTTCTGTGCCTGGGGTTAGACTGCAGCAGACAGAGCCACCTCACACTGCTGACTGCCCTCTCTGTGTGGACGATGGTGGCTGCCCAGCACTGCCCATGATCTATGGGCACAAAGGTGTCCTGATGTATAAGGTACTTGGGGGGACAGGGAAAGACTTTAAGGTAAGGAAGAATGTACTTGCCATTAATTTAGTAATAAATAAAAAGGAACCAGCCCAAATGCCCATCAATCAACGAGTGGATAAAGAAACTGTGACATATATAATATAAAATATATATAATATAAAAAAGATATATATATATATATATATATATAAAATTAAATTCTCTGCAGCCATAAAAAGGAATGAATTAACAGCATTTGGAGTGACCTACCTGGATGAGATGGGAGACTATCAGTGAAGTAACTCAGAAATGTAAAACCAAACATCGTGTGTTCTCACTGATATCTGGGAGCAAAACTATGAGGACACAAAGGCATAAGAATGACACAATGGACTTTGGGGACTTCGGGGGGAAGAGCGGGAGGGGGTGAGGGATAAAAGACACAATATGGTGCAGTGTATGCTGCTCGGGTGGTGGGTACACCAAAATCTTGCAAATCATCACTCAAGAACTTACTCATGTAACCAAATGCCACCTGTACCCCAATAACATATGGAAAAATAAAAATTAAATTAAAATGTAAAAAGAAAAATACTCTCTCATGGCCTGCAGCCATGAACATGGAGTGTTTTTGTTTAAAAAAAGGAGCTCCAAAACTGTACCTTTGGTGCACAGAGCCCCACATTTGGAAGGACCCTGCACTTAGTTTTAAACTCTGCTGTCATGATCTTCAAATTCTCAACAGTGTTTGGACAAAGGACCTGCCAGTAAGTTTTGCCACTGGTTGTAAATACATTATTTTGTTTCATATTCTGCTTACCTCCCCATGTGCTTGTTTCCTTTCAGCACAAGAGCACAACCAGGGTCTGGGTCACTCAGCATCTACGGAACTTAAGAATAAAGAAAACAGAAATTAAAGTCACAGCAAAGGACCACCTGGTACTGAAAGTCACAGCTGGAATCAAACAAGCCCATGAATAGGTTCCATATCTGTGTCCAGGACTGTGGTTCAGGAGACAGAAACACACAGCACAGTGGCCTGGTGCCCAGGGCAGGGCCAGAACAGGAAGATCGATTTTAGCTCAAGGCTCAGGTTTTACGGGTTGGACACTTGGCGTCAAGTCAAAGAGAACCCTTCTCCTAATAAGACATCATCTGTCAATGAAGTCGCTGTGATGTTGGTTTGCTTGACCCCAGCATGCTCACTGTGTGAACACGAAGCCCAGCTGCATGTGTGTCTGATGGGAACTCAAAATAATTTCCTTAAAAATGATTAACTTTTGTCAAAACATGACATAAATGTGTTTGATTGAATGAGCTGATGAGAAAATAAATGAATGAAAATGAATAAATTTTGTAGAATCAGCTTCTACCAGCTGAAAAGACCTTTTGAGGTTATTTCGGCACAACATCCATCTCCAGATAGAATTGTCCCTACCATGGGTCAGGTAGCTCACATGGCTTCAACCCCTTCTAAAACCAGAAAACCTCCCAGGAACTCCTCCCTGCCTTGATTACTTAGCTGTGTATTCAAGGGGATTAATCAGATGAGGTTTGACATTTGCATTAAAAATATTTGCGAACAAAATGACTCTCCAGTGATAGAGGTCACCTCATTGGTCGTTGGGACAGAGAGAGGCATTGCAGAGGGGAGTGAGGGACTTTCGTGGTGAGGCAGATACATCTTCATAGAGGCGGGGTTGCATACGTCGATATATGTTGCTCAAAAATCACTGATCTGTTCATTTAAAAGATGTCGTGTTTACTTCATATAATTTATATATCAAAAATGTGGATTTTTGAATGTCTGAGGAGATATGTATGCTACATCCTCTAGTTAATTTTATCAAATGAATTATCAAGCATATATATTTCCATTTCTGTGACTTCTGAGTCCTCAACCTAAGATTTCTTTGCAGAATGTGTCCATATCTGTCTTTGCACATTGGCATAGTGGAAGAGGTTGTCTGAGACCAGCAAAGGAAACCAAGATATCTAGGCTTCTACTATACGCTAGATACTTTATGCCATTAAAGGTTATATAGATCTCTGCTGATGGAGAGTGTTAGTCTCATTTTGTAGATTTAAAAAAAAATGTTAAAGCTAAACTTAACCCATTAAGAACTGGCCTGAGATCTTGATGAGCTGGTGTTAGAGTGGAAGTCACGGCTGGGAGTCATGGTGCCTCTTCAGACCACTTTCCCTACACCACTGTCTCCAGGGTAAACTGATCTCCGACTACGATGCTATTAGAGTCAGCAGGTCTAAAAGGGGTGTAGGGGAAAACATTCCAATTTATTGTAGGTTGGCAGCTTTATGAAATATTTTATAGCATAGAGCTATAAACACTGAACTTAGACTGGGCAGGGATGGAGTATCAGTACTACATCCTAATAGCTATTTAATTTGGTCAAGTTACTTAACCAATGGGCCAGTTGTCTTACGTGTACCATGAGAAAAGCATTTGTGTCTTAGGGTTTCCTTCTGACACTTGAATTTCTAAATAACTGAAACTTCCCAAAAGAAGGACTTCTATTTTGTGTATAGTAAAATAACAGTAAATGGTGGAATCATTATTTTTTTCTAAGTCTTGCCCATGGAGTAGAATTGAAGTGTGCATGTGCATTAATATAATCCATGCTTTCGGTTCTGCAGATGACTGTGCCACTCATGTGACAGACGGTTTTGTAGAAACAGTGAAAGACCATAAATATGGTATATTCATACAATGGCATATTATTAAGCATTAAAAAGAAGAAAATCCAGCCATTCGTGATAGCATGGATAAAGCTGCAGGACACTGTGCTAAGTGAATAAGCCTGGCACAGAAAGACAAATACTGCACAATTCTGCTTATAGTAGGCTACCTAAAAGCCAAACTCATGAAAGCAAAGATAAAAGTGGTGATATCCAAGGGCTGGGAGTGGAGAAAATGGGGAGTTGCTGTCAGCAGGTATAAAAATTCGGTCAGCAAGATGAGTAAGATCTAGAGAGCTTCTGTACAACCTTGCACTTGTAGATTACAATACTGTGTTGTACACTTAAAAATCTATTTAACATAAGGATCTCATGTTCCATGTTCCTACTACATTAAATTAAAACGCTGGCAAAAAATGGGGGAGGTAGCTAAAGAGAGAAAGAGAAAGAAAGGGAAATTTGTATAATTCAGAAACCAAGTAAAGTACTTTGAATAAGTAAAACTAAAATAAAACAAAATAAATTTAAGCCTTAATACTCTAAAATGAAATATTTTTTATTAAACAATTTTTGTCATGTTTTATCTTATGCCATAAAATATACAAAGAAAGGGCCTCAAAAACTTCATTGACGAAAAGATATAAAATAAACTAACTAATGAATAACAATTATTCATGTTACTTTTCCTCAAGGTAGATTGCATTAGTTACAGAAAGTCTACAGTGTAGAAAATTTTATCTTTCTTTTTGCTGCCATGAAGGATGAATGGATATGCTTGGCCTGGGAGTCATATGTTTCTTGGACTTGTCAAAGAAGAGGTTATAATGGTCACATAGGAGGCATGACCTTCCCCTCCTGCTAACGGGACCCGAAAGAAGGAAGCCAGGTGAGGGGCAGATGTACAGAGTAGGGGAGGGTGGAAAGGTGTTGGAGAACACACGACAGCCAGTTATTAAATATGAGACCAAGGGCAGCTGCCTTCCCTCAGATACAAAAACAGGCAAAATAATAAAAACTTGTGATTTCAGTGAGCTTTAAAGCAGATCACATATAGAAGCAGCAGGGAATGTCTGGGAAAGAAAACCCTGTAAGCTTGGCAGGGCCTGAGCCCCTCTGGCTGGAAGCACGAGCCTCACAGTTACTTCCTGAATGGGGCAGGAAAGTTCCTTGGGGAACTGGCCTTTCCCAGTTACTCTCTCTGCAGGCCACCCCTACATGCTGCTACCATTAGCAGGGCCCAGGCTTTGCTACTCCAGGAGATCTTCCTGTCCTACACAGCCCTGAAACTAAAGGTGGGGCTGGTGGAACACAGTCCCCACATGCCTGCATCACACCTGGATTTCCTCTGTCCTCCCTGTCCCAGGCCAGACACTCATTTCCAGTCCTTGCCATCCCAGCCCCTTCATCCTCCACTCCCCATGCAGAGGCAGAGACACTCCCTCCTTGGTGCAAACTGAAGACTCTAACACCCCTGCCCTTCTTTGGCAGTGAGGAGTCTGTGCTTAACTCCACATGTCCAGGCCCTACTCAGGGAATCCCAAAGGGCCACTGATGCCATCAGGCAGCCAGGCATCCCCTTCAGCCTTCTCCTGGCGGTCCTCCAGCCCTACCCAGGGTTTCTTACAGCACTGTGGAGCCACAGCGCCACCAAGTGGCCAAAAATCCGCAGTCTCATGGATTCACATTTGGCCTAATGTGCTCAAGATTGTCCAAAGAAGGAACAGAGATGCCCTGCTCTCACTCCTGCAATCCCCACCCTCTCACACACCCCTCTCTATACTTCCCCAGAAGGGCCAATCTAGAGTTGACCTTAAAGTCCACCTTTAGCTAGTGGAGGCAAAAGTATGCATTAACCAACATTTTGATTGCAAAATAAACAATGTTACAGTACTGCAATTAGTATGCTAGGAGGGATGAGAGAAGCCTGAAAAATACAGGCCACAGATTTAAACAGTGTGAAGATATCAAATAGACCTAACCTGGAAACTGTATTCAATCGTTCCTTTTGATTAATCAGACCCACGTTTTCATATTTTGTATTTAAATAAATTATTAGCAAATTTTACATAGTGTATTTTAGAAGGAAAATTAGATTTTTATAAATGTATTTCTGAACTTACAAAATCTTGAAATAAACAACCCTTTTAGCTGTAACCTCGGCAGATTCAACTGGCTGTGACATTACCTGTCACTCCACAGAAGTGTCTATGAGCTCCACCAGTGACCCAGCACCTCTCAGTAATGCGACCCAGAGAAACTATGTCCATGTGAATGAGTTTCCACAAGAACACACATGCATACACATACATGTACACACACACACACATGCACATGCACACACACATTCACACACACTATATCTTTTATTTTTTTCTTGAGATGGAGTCTCACGCTGTCGCCCAGGCTGGAGTGCAATGGCGAGATCTCGGCTCACGGCAACCTCCGCCCCCCGGGTTCACGAGATTCTCCTGCCTCAGCCTCCCAAATAGCTGGGATTACAGGCACACAACACCACACCGGCTAACTGTTTGTATTTTTAGTAGAGACAGGATTTCACTATGTTGGCCAGACTGGTCTTGAACTCCTGACCTCATGATCCACCTGCCTCAGCCTCCCAAAGTGCTGGGATTACAGGTGTGAGCCACAGAGTCCGGCCACACACAATATCTTTTACTTGCCAGAGATGATAACATTCCATGACTAAGCTCAGCTGACTTTCCTTTCAGTGTTTTAGGCTGATTTCTGAAGAGCATCTTTGATGATGTTAACAGCCTCATCAAATCTCTAAAGATGTGGTTGAGGAAGTGTGGTTATGACAAGGAATATTTCTGCAGGATCATGAGACTGGATAAATATTACTATAACGTGATTTTCTTTGCTCCAAAAGAACATTTGCAAATTGCAGCGTTAGACACAGTTATGGTACTTCACAGCACTGCTCATCAATCCAAACTAGAATGACACAATTGCTCAGAATATTGCAGAGGTTGCACGAAATCCTGAGGCTATTCATAATCACTCTCCATGATATTTCAGGTAAGAAGAATCCTTTGTGAAGGGAAGACAGTGATTAATCATACTCCAGGACTCTGTATAAGTAGGATTAACTTACTCACTTTACAAACATCAAATAAGATCAATTATATACTTGGCTTTTCCCATGAAAATAAAGGAAAGAGAGTGATACAGTACAGTCCCAGGGAATGTCACAGTAGGACATGAAGGGGGAGGCAGGTGTGAGCCTGTTCTTCACAGATGATCAGTACCTGGTAATGTCTTAGGAGAACAAAGGTCCGTCCAGGCCATGGAAATAGTGAGGACAAACGCAGAGCATATAAAGGCTGCTGAGTTTTAGGAAATGTTGAAAGAGCTGTTTGGTCACAGAAGGTAATTGGATCTAGGTGATGAGCATTACAAAGGCATCCCAGGGAAGTAGAATTTATTTGAGGAAAACTGGAGAGCCTTTACCTGTTTACCGTCAGGGATAAAATGACCTCATCTGTGTTTTGGAAGGTACTTGAGTGTGTCCTGAAGAGTTCAGATTCAGGCCAGAAGACCATAGGGAAGACATCAGAACCAACTCCAGGACTCTCACGCCAGGCAAGCGGCTCTTTGGTGATATCCCCAACTGGGACCGGCCACCAGTGACGCCAATTGCTGTGAGTTCTTCCTTTATGTTCTCTAGATATTGAAAATTTGGGGAAGGGTGAGAAGAGAGCTCATGGTGCACAGAACACCACTTCTTATCACCTTCTGCCTTATCTCTATTTTCAAAATCTTTTAATCATATTCTCTCTCCTCCACTTTCCCAAATCTCAATTTCTTCACCCTAAATTATACAAAGCAAACCCCTGTGATTTTACCTCCAACACTATGCTATTATCAACAATCTTGACTCCAAAATGAAATTTCCTGCCCTTAAAAAGAGAGCACCAGCTGTTACATGATGAACATGTCCTCTACCCCTGTAGCTTACAGTATCAAGCAGAGAAGGCGATTCTGCAGTGAACCTACTGGAGCAGCAGCATCTTCTGAGCAGAGCTGCCTGGCCTTATTTCCTTCAGCCCCGAATGGCAGAAAAGCCCGAGGTTGCTGGATCCAGCATCATGAAATTATTTTTTCTTTCTCCCTGCAGTCCCCAAGTTCTCACAGATATGTCAGGGCTGAGGTTGCTCCACACTGGGGCAGGCAGGTTTGTGCACAGGATGCGGTTGGCTCTGCAGGGCTGTCCCAAACTTCTGGGACAGAGATACAGGGCCAAGTCTGCCAGCTCCAAGGTGATCATGTTCAGCTCAGAGTGATAGTCAGGGAACTGGTGCCCTGAGAAACGATCAGGGAAGTTTCCTTTTACTCTCTGTAACCCATTATGATATTTTAACAATTACTGGAGGCCCTGACCTGGAGCTTGTTGGTACCAGGACACACTGTTATGCCCAGAGACAGGGGAGCAGCTCAGTGTCACTTGCTGTCCTCTTGTTTTGATCAGAGATCTTGGAGTTTGGGTGACTCCAGCCTCTACTGGGCCTGTGGGAAAAGCAGATGGAGGATGAGCACGGGAGACAGTGTGGTGGTACCTCCCCAAGGTAAAGTGGAAGACACAGGGGTGAGGGCGGGCTCAGGATGGGGGTGCTCTCCCCTCTCTGCAAGGACTCACCTGCTCCCAGGAGACAAAGCAGTGCCCAGCAGAGCAGCATGGAGCCCGTGGCACAAAGGGGCAGGCAGCACCGTGTCTGTGCTCAGGGCTTGGTCCTCCTGGGGAAGAGCTGAGTTCTCAGCCTCCCTTTTCCTGGTGGGAGGGGCATCCTATGATGTCACTCTCCTATGTCCTCCCCTTGCAGGCCTCCCGAGGTCCACTGCTCTCTGTTCTGCACAGCAGAATCCACTGGGCCTGTGAGGGAAGGGGACCGAGGCTGGGGCAAGAACACCGGAGGGAGCCTGAGGGTGCCTTGGATGAGGCTTGCTTCAGAGACATCCCACGTGTGCCAAGGACTCACCGGGTCCCAGGAGACAAAGGCCTTCCCATCAGAGGTACCTGGAGCCCATGGCCGGGTGGGACAGAGCTGGGCAGGAGTCACCCTGCCAGGGGTACTGGTTTTGGGCATCGCATCTCTGATCGGATGTCAGCCTGTGATGTGACTGCTGTGATGTCATCGTCTCTGCAGGTCCCCACGCACCCTGCCAGTCACATTAAGGAATAGTGTATTATTCTACTGTAAAATGAATACCTAGAAATGTTTGAGTTCAATTAGATAAAATTGCCAGATTGCTGGCCAATCCTTACCTAGAAAAAGAAACAAAACAGAATATATAGATTACTTCAGAGATGCCTCATATCCCATGATAAACAACTATTATATTTCACATAAGAGCAGGCCGAGATAATAGTATAAAAATGACTGAAAGATGAGAGCATGGATCTGACTTCTCCTAAAGTTGCAAACTAGCATCGTCTCCTGGCTCCTTCTCTAGATGAACCCGATGAGACAAGAAAGAAGCATCAATATCAGAAACTAACGAATAACGATGATAATCTTTCAGGAAGACTGAAGCTATTTCACACAGGAGTATAAAGAATATGAGTGGTGAGCCCAAGACTGCAATGAGAAAACAGGATGGTGGAAATGGTTTAAATCTTACCTTGTCTGACTCCCTCCTTGCATGGAGACAATCTTATTTACACTTTCATTTTAGAAATCATATTAGAGTAACTGATACCATCGGGACACCAAGAATACCAAAAGAAAGATAATTTCTATCATCTGAGTGCTTGTGTCCCTTGAAATTCATATGTTGAAATTCTAAGCCCTGATGTGATGAGATTAGGAGGTAAAGCCTTTAAGAGGGAATGAGGTCATGAAGGCCTAACGGGTTAGTGCCCTTGCAAAGAGACACCAGAGCACTAGCTGGCCCTCCCACCATGTGAGGATAGAGTGAGAAGGAGCCATCTATGAATCAGAAAGTGGGTCCTCCAAGCCACGCTCTGTCTCATCTGTGACATACTGGCTAGGGGTTTAGCTGACTCCAGGTTCCATGTATCCTGTGGAGTAAAGAGGGGCCTGAAATGGAATGAAACTTAACTTTGGAACTGGCCTTAGGTAAACAGGATAAGAATTTCCCAAGCACTCTTAGGACTCACGTGCTCCAAAGAGACCAAAGATCACCCTACATAGAAGCGTGCTGTCTCTTCACGGCAGAATTGGGCAGGGCTGAGGCCACTCCCAGCTGAAGCTCTGGTCATTAGCCATGCAAATGGGGAGATCTTGTGAGGTCACAGTGCCGGCTGCAGCCACAGACTCAGGATCCTGCACTGGAGGAGTGGGAGCCTTAGTGGCACACTGGACACGGATGTCTCCAGGCTCGGCCTCTGTGTTTTCTGGGGGTGCACGGATTCCCCCAGGCTCGGCCTCTGTGTATCCTGGGAGTGCATGGATGCCCCCAGGCTTGACCTCTGTGTTTCCCTGCGGTGCAGTCCTGCAGACCCTGTGTGAAATAGTGCAGTTGAGGAGCCCCCAAGAAACACAGAATTCAGGAGACCTAGGCAAGCTAAGACACGAAGAGAACGGCCAGGACCCACTCTCCTCCCTAAAGGCCAATGTAAAGCTACAATCCAGAGACACTGAACTCTGAGCCTGATGATTTAACATGCTGGGAATAAAGAGACCAGAAGGAGAAAACACCGCTTCCAGTGTCAGTGTGGAGAGGAAATCCAGTGAGGAGTTGTGATCTTAAACCAAGGACACTTCAGGTCAAGAGAAGGAGAGTAGATGAGTGAGGAAGCTTCCAGACCATGGTCCACGGGATCTGAATGGATGGGAGTGGACAGAGGCAAGTTTGCTTCCTGCGGGATTCAGAGAAGGTGTCTGTGCGGATGTGGAGCTTTGATCAGGGCTGGAATTTATGCTGTAGGTTTGAGTTTAAATAAGAAAATTAGAGAATAGACAAGATGGAAGATAGAATAACAGAACTGGTTTGACATATTTCTCAAATCCATTCCCCAAAACCTGGGTTATCTACTGTGCTCTCCAGCTGCCTCCTGCCCTGGGACCCTTGCCTGGAAGTTACCTCTATGATTCCCCCAAACCCAGTGCTGCTTGACCTTGGGTGTCAGCAACTTATGACAGAAGGGACCCCTTGGTTCCTGAGAAAGAGAGGCTTGGAGACCACCAGACATAAAGTGTCAGAAGAGCTTGGCTCCTCACAGGACACTGTGTGGCCCATTGCAGGGTATGACTGCGGTGACGCAGGTGGTTGTTTAGAGGGTCTTATAAAATCTTAAACTAAACAATCCCCTTATAGCATGCTTGCTTTATTTTACAATTTAAAAAGGGATTTTAAAAAGACTAGATCTGAATGTGTTTATCGTTTTCAAATCAGTTGACAGAGCAGAGTCACACGCTAAAGAAAACCCACACTCTAAATATGTGCACGGGATGTAAAGTTGCCGCATGGATGAATTAGCAGGTGCTGTGATGTTCTGAAGCTTCTGTCGGGGCTCTTGCAGGAAATGCTCACCCGAGCCCTCCGTGGCCCCCACAGCTTCCCGGCAGGCCCCGAAGGTTTCTGCACAGGAAAGCGATGACTCTGCAAGGCTGTGTCTTGGCTGCTGGCGCAGAGATACAGGGCTGAGTCTTCTGGCTGCAGGGCGCGTAGGTGAAGGTGTAAGTGAGAGCTGTCTGGGCATTCAGGTGAGAAGCGACTGGGCACACTGTTGTTTTCAGCCCGTTCTTTAAAGTTGTAGACAAACATGAGCTCCGGTGGCTTCTTAGCTTTCTGCTTGTACCAGTACATAGCATTGTGCCCCAGATGTTGTTCACATTTCAAAGACTTCTTATTTGTCATTCCCATGACCAGGTGTCTTGGTGTCTGCGTAACTCCAGTTTCCATGGGGACTGTGGGGGGGAAGGGACAAAATTTAGGCAGAGCCCAGGAGGAGGGTTGTTGCTGGGGGCGGGGGGATCACAAGGAAAAAGCTTGGAGGTCGAGGACAGCTGATTTGAAGCCAAATCACCTGCTCCCAGGAGACAGAGAACCGCACAGCAGAGCAGCCTGCAGCCCATGCTAGCCTCCGGTCTGAGATGGGGCCTCTGACTGGGGTCCTCTGGGTGAGGGGCTGGGCTCTGGTCTCCTTGGCCCTGGTTGGTGGTTTTTCCTGTGATGTCACTGCTCCTGACAGTTTCCTCAGACCCAGGGGATGTTTATTCCTGGAGGTTTTACATCCTTTCTGGGTCCTGATAGAAGGTAGATTTGAATAGTCTGGGCTGGGATGAATGGGCTGGGCAGAAAGGACAGAGCCAGCTTTTTACCCCCCAAGGATATTCCTCTGGCAGGGGCTCTTTGCTCTCAGCTGCTTCCTCATTATGTGGATCCTCCCTCTATCTCTGTCCCCCTGTCTTTCAGGACCCCTCTCAGCAACAGACCACTCCCATTCAAGGAATCTCCTTCTCCCCTCTGGGATCACACATGACAGCTCCACTCAAAACGTCCCTTCCCTCAATGTCTAAGCACAGTAGAGCCCTTTTTGCCCAGTTCTGTGGAGGGAGAATGACTGCATGACCACGGATGCAGTGTGGACCAGCCCCCATCATTCAAGGGTATGACTGTGATGCCAACCAGCAACCAGGCACTGGGGAGGGGGCTGCAGGACATGACAGGGATGAGCTACCCTCTGTCCCTGAAGTGGAGGGCATGGGACTTGGCTGGGCTTACGGCTAACCTACAAAGGATGCTGAAAAGGAACAATGCAAGGTGTGGGGAGCACGGGAAAGGGGAATCAGCTTGAAGCTGACATAATAAATAAACACAAAAGGTAAGTACAAATAAACACAGAAATGAAATGATTCATAATCCCTAAGTGATTTTAACCATCTACTGTTATAGTACGTATTTGTTACTGTCGTGTAATGACAATTTGATTGTAGGGTTAGGGTTGCAGTTATAAATCAGTTACATAAAAATCTATGTTGGGGGTAGAAAGGCATTACCGTGATGAAACTATGGGTTGATAATTTAGAGATTTTCAAACTTGGAGATGTGCTGGGCCAGGAGGAAAGTGTTAGACTGCTAATATTCTCATGTGTAAATTGTTTTGGATTATTTTTATGTGGCCCTTAAAGCAAAGAATGTAAAGGCATGTACATCAGAATTTAAGAAAAGTGGTTGAATCGTCTCCTCCTGAACAGGTTGCACATATGAGAGACCTTCAACCTGCTATGGTTGGATTTATTTCATTCTTAGATGAGAACCTAACATCAACCTGATTTAAAGGCTAATGTTGTTAATATTAAAGTTATTATGATAGGAGTCTGCTTTAGCAAGGAAACAATTCTTGGCCCTTCCACCAAAAAAGAAAAAAAAATTGAATTAAAAAGAGTTTGATTGCATTGTGTGGCTCTCAATAAGTGAACCAAATTTCAAGGATTTTTTTTTTTTTTAATGGAATTCAACCTACCTTGAATAACAATGACAATGAAAGGCTTGACTGCCCTGAGGTCAGTAGCTAACATAAACCTTTCTCAAAGCACAGGGTGGGTGATAGGTGAGTTTAAGTCATCTGAATTCGGGATGGATCTGAAGAGGAGGATGACCTCAGGACAGTCAGAGTTGTGAGAAAGAAGAGTGGAATGGTAAACGTGAAATAAAGTCAAGTTAACATGTCTGTACCAAATAGCAGTACTATATGTGATTGAAGCTAGGACATAACTGACTCCAAGACAGTTGGGATTTAGGACACAGTGTACTAAAAAGGAACCCAAAAATCATATGTAAGAAACCTGCCCCCCCCTTTTTTTTCCTGAGCCAGATCCTAAATTGTGTATGCAGAGGGTGGCAGACCCGAAGGCTGAGAAGAGAACAAGTTCTGGAAGGCTGAAGACAAGGGCAGAGATTTCAGAAGAGCCAGGGCATTCAGACCCAGTTACAGTGGAGTGATGTGGTGAATACACTGTGATTCCCACTAAGACCCTGGGAAGGCCATGCACTAGCAATGATGACCACGTGCTGGGGCTCCCTAAGAGGGAGGGCGAAGCTGAAATAGACCCTAACAAGTCCTACATTTAACCCTCCCAGAATAAAACCCAACACTCTTTCCAAGAGATAACATAATCCAGAGCCTCAAGTGTATATCGTCCGCAATGCTTTACATAAACCCTTTCTTTCATGGAGGATATTTAGAAGTCTCCTAATCCTTCAGACCACCCCAAAATCTATCTCCTTTCTGATTCATACTACTTTCAGTGTTCCTGTACCAAAATATCAGTTTCATCATGTTGTTTCACTTGGAGTAGGACCAGTGGCTCACCACTACCTAGGGATTTGTTTCCAAAGTCCTTTGCATGTCTCCCAATATCCCCTGTCATCAAGCTATCACTTGCTGTTGAGGAGAGTTCAAGAAGACGTTCATCTGAATTGGGAGAGACTCTCGCTGGTCACCCTTCTTGAAGAGAAGGAGTCTACAAGGCACAAGGCTGCCTCCACCGGCTTCTCCTCAACACTTTCCAGTTTACCTATTGCCATGGAATTTCATGCCCCTCCAAATATTTCTCTGTTAAATAAAGTACTCACTGATAATCCAAATTGTCTCTTGATCTTAGAAATGCTTTCCTTCCCCTTCCTTTATGCTTATGCTCATCAACCATTTTTACCAACACTGCGTTTGTAATCGTAACGTTAGCTAAAATATGTACCCATATGTGCAGCCGACAAAGATAAGAAATGGCTTCTCCCATCAGTTAAGATCTTCAGTGCATGGGACAGGCTCCTGTTTTGTTAGCTGAGCCCTGATACTTTGCTGACTTTGTTGTGAACCCCTGCTTTAGCTGATAAACAGAATTCGGAGAGTTCTGTGTACATCAAATGGAGAACTGCCACATCAGGTGCACTAGCCGGCTGTGCTACAGACTGAAACTCCATCAGAGGCCGTCAGGGAGTGGAGACTGGAGCCTTGGGTGCAGGTGCACACACTGGCCCACAGCTTCCTAGCTGATCCGGGAGGTTTGTGCACAGGGATGTGGTGACTCTGCAGGGCTGTGTCTTGGCTGCTGGCACAGAAATATACAGCAGAGTCACCAAGCTCCAGGGACTTGATGTGAAGATTTAAATGAGCTTTGTCTGGAGACTTAGGTGAGAAGCGATATGGAACTGTTTCATTTAAAATGGGCTCCTTATTATTGTAGATAAACATTATCTTCAGCAATTTCTTAGAGTCCTGCTTATACCAATACATAGCATTATGGCCCAGATTTTGTTCACATTTAAGGGACTCGTTTTTTCCCGTCTGCCTGACCAGATATTTTGGAGTCTGGGAAACAGCTGTGTCCAAGGAACCTGTAAAGGAAAGAAGCAGAATTCAGGCAAATCCCAGGAGGTAGCCTGCTGTCGTCATGGTGAAAAGGTTTAGGGACTCCAACAGGATCATGTCACCTGGGCCCAGGACTCACCTGCTTGGAGGAGGCAGAGGGCCACACAGCAGAGGAGCCTGCAGCCCATGGCAGAGTCAGGCAGACCAGGCAAGGCCCAGGGCAGGATTCTGGTGTGCAGTGGTGAGAAGTCTAGTCTGTGCTTTCCACTGCCGCTGAGAGGGGCTGCGCCAGTGAGGTCACAGCCTGTAATCATTTCCCCATTCCCAGGCTCTCCTCTAGCATGGCTCCTCCTTTTCATGCCCTGCACTTGCTGCTTTAAAGGAGTTTTTGGAATTTCTGGGAATAGTTGAGAGGGTTGAATTGTGGCCTCCAGGATGTGTCTCTGACAGTCATTCCTGTGCCATCAACCCCTTCCCTCCCCGCTCCTTACCTGGGATCTGACCACCTCCTCCCTTCCTCTCCCTTTTGGGCTCTTCTCCCAGAGTCAGACTTTTTTTTGGGGATTTCCAAGAAGTCAGGGAAATTCCGAATGCTTTTTAAAAAGGTGAAACATGAGCCTGAAGTGAAAACAAAGTGTGTTTCAGGTGTGCATCCTGGAGGTCTGTCAATGCCACCTTCTTTCCCATCTCCAGGTGTCTTGGCATCATCCGATCTTTTGACATCTGGACAAGTCTAGCTTCCGTGGGTCTCTGTAGATAGGGAGAGAAGTTGGAGATGGAAACTGAAAGGGAGTCTGCTGATGCTGTTTTGATAGAAACATTTGCTCAGGCCTAGGAGAGGGGTTTCCTATCACTGTGGGGAGCTCCTGGTCCAAAGACTCAGAGGACCATCCAGAAGAGGAACAAGAAAAAACTTCTTTCTAGCTTAATTCCCTGATAATTTAGAATGAGGAGAACGGGGCTGTAGGTCACTTTTGGTCTTCTAAGAAGATTTCCCTCAGTTATTAAGTTCTGCAAGATCCCCGAGGGACCCCTGGCCGGCCAGACTCACTTCATGGCAGGGCTCAGCTGTACTGGGCTGAGCTGGAGCAGAGGCCCAATGCCCAGAGCCTCTCTTATTCCTCTTGGGAAGGGGTCCTCCATCTGTGCCTGCTTGTGGGCTCCCAGTCTCCCCAGCTCATGCCTCGTCCTTTCTAATCCCATGCAGGCTCGAGTGCAAGTCTGACAGTCCAGGCTCTTCCCTAGGACAAAAGCGCCTGCACATCAAGGCAAAATGTATAGTCTGTATTTAACCCTCACACTTAGAGCCTTGACTAGCATTCTCTGCAGACCACATTTTCCCTTGTTGTAAATAAACCCAATCTTTCTCTTTACCCTCTGCCATCCAGAGAATTGTCTCCCCTTCCTCCAAGTTCTCTGAATCTCAGCAGAGTCACAGCTCCGCCTTGTGGTCAAAGTGTCAAACATGTCAAGGCTCAGTCCCATGGTGGACCAAAGGCAGCAGGGCAGGGCGGTAGAGGTCTTATTATAGACACGTGAGGGGAGACTAGAAGCGCTTCATTCCTCACTCTCTTCAGGAAGCTTCCACCATAATACAAACATACAAACCTACAAACTCAATTGCACTTCATCTTTAATAAACATAAAAACTGACTTTCAGAGTTAATAGACTGGACTGTTGCAGAACAACATTCCCACCAGAAACAACTAGAAAAGCTTAACAAAATATAAAACAGAAATGTTTGAAGGCACTTGGAGCTACTGAGGCAGTAAGAGCTTAAGAGATTTGGATCTCATAGAAAATGGATAAATCTAAAAGACAACAAAAATCCTACTTTTCCCTTAAAGTCATTTGCCAATTTCATTTTGATGGCTGAGAAGCTAAGAAGAAAGGGAGGACTGACGGGCCAGAGGCTTTGAGGGGTATCCACCACCTTTCTGGCCTAGAGAACTTTTACGTTCAGTGTTCCTTCTTCTCAAGATATGTTGCATCGGTTACAGGAAGTCTACAGTTCAGAAAATTACTACCCCCCCTTTTTTTTCTTTTTCTTTTTTTCTAAGTGTGTGTGTGTGTGTGTGTGTGTGTGTGTGTGTGTGTATGTGTGTGCGTAGTCTAGGTCTGCTGTCCAGGCTGGAGTGCAGTGGCACAATCTCAGCTCACTGCAACCTCCACCTCCTGAGTTCAAATAATTCCCATTCTTCAGCCTCCTGAGTAGCTGGGATTGCAGGTGCCCACCACCATGCCTGGCTAATTTATTTTATTTCTAGTACAGACATGGTTTCTCCATGTTGACCAGGCTGGTCTCGAACTCCTGGGCTCAAGGGATCCACCTGCTCAGCCTCCCAAAGTGCTGGGATTAGAGGTGTGAGGCACCACGCCTGGCCAGAAAATAACACTTTTTTTTTTTTTTTGGTCTCAGTGAAGGATGAATGGAGATGCTTGGCCTGGAAGTCAAGTGTTCCTTGGACTTCCCAGGGAAGAGATTCTACTGATTATGTATGAGGCATGACCTTCACAACCTGCTAATGGGGACCTGGAAAGGGGCAAGCAGGTGAAAGGACAGAGCTACAAGGAAGGGGTTGTGCAGAGGTGTTGGAGAGACATACTTAAGCCAGTTTTTATTTTATTTTATTTTGACACAGAGTCTCACTTTGTTGCCCAGGCTGGAGTGCAATGGCACGATCTTGGCTCACCGCAACATCTGCCTCCTAGGTTCAAGCAATTCTCCTGCCTCAGCCTCCCAAGTAGGTGGAATTACAGTCATGCACCACCACACCTGGCCGAGTTTTTATATTGTTGGTAGAGACGGGGTTTCACTATGCTGCCCAGGCTGGTTTCGAACTCCTGAGGTTGGCCTCCCAAAATCCTAGGGTCACAGGGCTGAGCCACTGCACCCAGCCTTCAGCCAGTTATTAAATATGAGACCCAGGACAGCTGATTTCCCTCAGATACATAAACAGGTAAAATAATACTTATCCTGCGCGATTTGTGTGACTTAAAGCAGATCACATGTAGACACAGCAGAGAGTGCCTGGGAAAGGCCTGTCAGCTCTCCAGGGCCTGAACCCTTCTGGCTGGCAGCATGTGCCTCACGGTCATTTCCTGAGTGGGGGCAGGAATGATTCTGGAGCTTCTTACGGCAACTGGCCTTTCCTAGTTACTCTCCCTGCAGGCCACCGCTGCCCCCTGCACCCTGTGGCAGGCCTCAGGCTTAGCTGCCCCGTGCCTCTGTCCTGCACACCCCCAAAACTAAAGATTTGGTGGGTGGAGAACAGGCCCCACATGCCCACATCACACCTTACTTTCCTCTGCCTGCCTGTCCCTGCCCTGGCACTGATGCCCAGCCCTTGTGGCCCGAGCTCCTTCACCCTCCACTGCCCATGCAGACACAGAGACACTGTACTCTTTGGTGCAAACTGAGGCCTCAGGCACCTCTACTCTTCCCTGGCAGTGGGGAGTTTGTGTTTAACTGAAGATCCACTCTGAATCAAACCACTCCCTTGAAGCCAGCAGGCAGCCAAGCATACCCTTCAGCCCCGCTCTCCTGGATCACCCTCCCACCCCCCTCCAGGGTTCCCTGCAGCATTGTGGAGCCACAGCGCCTCCTAGTGGCCAACGTTCCACAGTCTCATGGATTCACACCTGACCTGATGAGCTCAAGATTGTCCAAATCGGGAACAAGGATGCCCCATTCTCACCCCTGCAACCCCCATCCTCACACCCTCTATGCTTTCCCCAAAAGGCCAATTTAGGGTTGATCTTCAAATTCACCCCGGGCCAAAGGGACACAGGAACCAATCTTTTGATTGCAAAATAAATAATTGTCGCACTTAGAGAGCAGCCAGAATTAAACAGACCCTTCATTAAACAGTGTGAGGATGTCAAGCCCACCTAGCCCAGAAACACTGCACTGTTCCCCGGATCCTTTTGCTCAATCAGACCCAATCTTTTCATATTTTGTATTTAAATTAATATCACTAAATTTTACATCATGTGTTTTATAAGAGAGGATTTCTCGAGTTTACAAATTTATTTCTGAATTTGTAAAATTTTAAAATAAACAACCCTGTCAGCTATGACTTAGCCAGATTCAGTTGGCTGTGACATTTCCTATCACTTCCTGGGGTTAGGAAAGTGCCTCTGAACTCTACCAGTGATCTAGTGATGCTTAGTAAATGCCGCCCAGAGAAACTATTTGCATCTCCACAAGAAAACACGCTCACGACTGGGCGCGGTGGCTCATGGCTGTAATCTCAGCACTTTGGGAGGCCGAGGCGGGTGGATCACGAGGTCAAGAGATCGAGACCATCCTGGCCAACATGGTGAAACCACAACTCTACTAAAAATACAAGAATTAGCTGGGTGTGGTGGCGCACGCCTGTAGTCCCAGCTACTCAGGAGGCTGAGGCAGGTGAATCGCTTGAACCTGGGAGGTGGAGGTTGAAGTGAACCAACATCGCCACTGCACTCCAGCCTGGCAACAGAGCAAGTCTCCGTCTCCAAAAAAGAAAAGAAAGCAAACATACTCACAGTCACAAGCTCACAAGCACGCACACACAATACATTTTAATGGACAAGTCTGCTGAAGTTCAATTACCGGCACAGCTACTTTTCCTCTCGGTGCTTTAGGTTGCTTTCTGAGAAGGACCATTGTTGATGTTCCCAGTCTCACCAAATCTCGAAGATGTGGTCATGGAAAGTGTGGGTATGATGAGAAATATTTCTCAGCAAGATCGTGAGACTGGATAAATGTTACTAAAACATAATGATTTTCTTTTTTCCCAGAAGAACATTTACAAATTCTGGCTTAAACACAGTTTGAGTACTTTAGAGAACAAGTCATCAATTATGACTATGAAGACATCAATTATGATTGCCTAGAATATTGCAGAATTTGTGGAGAAAACTGAGCCTATCCCTGAAGACTCTCCAGTCTATTTCACATAGGAGAAGCCTCTTATAAAGAGAAGATAGTAATTTGTAATATTCCACAGGCCTGTATAAGTGGACTTCAATTTATTCTTATAAACATCAGGCAGTTCCCATTTTATTCTTGGTTTGGCCTATGAAAACAAAGAGAGTGATATCATAGAGTGCCAGAGAATGCCAGGGAGAGAAGTGAAGAGCAAGATAGGTAGGAGCCCGTCCTTGACAGATGGGCAGTGTCTGGCCCTGTCGTGGGAAAATGAAGGTCCTTCTGGGCCATGGAAACAGTGAGTGCCAATGCAGAGGATGTTAAAGGCTGCAGAGTTCTCCAATATCTTCAAAAACCATTCGATCACAGAGGGCAATCAGATGTGGGTGACGAGTGTGAGAAAGCATTCCTAGGAAAGCAGAGTTTATCTTGGGGAGAAGCTCAGAGCATTTTCTCCTTGAAAACCAAAGGCAATTTGACCTTCTCTGTATTTTGGAAAGTGCCTGACTTCC